TGTGTAGAGTTTTGCAAAAATAGCCAATAGTTACAAAAACTGTGCTCAAGCCATCAGAAAAAACTGTAAAGACTTTAATGAAAGGCAACCCAACAAACCTGTTGGTGAGATTAACCTGTGATCTGATGAAGAGACTGAACTCAAACTGTGGAAGAAGTTGTTTTGAGTTCTTTGCAAAACTTCTGACCTGCTGTGTTTTCTGAATCACTCAATAAATTTGTTCTCCATTGTGTCTGTGTTTGAGTGCTTTGAATGACCACAACAACACAACAACACAGTATCAGGTTAAACAAATACACCTGATTTAATGACTAACCCACCATAAACCTAAATGACTGCAGATTAACTCTGATGATGTGTAGCAGCTCAGCTTGGTAAGTGAAGAACTAAACTCCATGTTGACCTAGAATTAGCTGCAACATAATGAAATGACACATTTCGGTACAAACACTGAATGAGACTCTTGTGACTGTACCTGCAGCTCCCGTCTTCACCTCAGAGTAAACAGCACTCTGCTCTGGTTTATGATGCTTCCCTGTGAAGATGATCAGAGTATTTGACATAAGGAAATAACTAACTCTTAATTTTTTTTAAACATTTATTTATTGTATTCTTACATTACATTTACATTTATTAATTTTAAACTGCAGAAGTTTTATGTACTTACGCTTCTTTTCAAAGTTTTTAAGTTCAATAAGAGAGTATGTGACATCTTGATGTTCATCTGATCCTGAAATGTTCATATTTTAGTTACAGGATTGTAAACATTTCACATGGAAATAATTTTATTAAATCAAAAATAAATTTCTTCTCTAAATTCTCTGTGTTTTTCAACAAATATACTGCACCATTTCTGTTGTCTTCAACTGGCGTAACTGAGTCATAGATGTGATTGGTACCTAAAAAAAGACGAGCCAGGGTCACATTAATCATTGAATAAAAAACTAAAGTTTCAATAATTCTGTTTAAGTCAAAACCAGGACTATAAGATATTTTCAAACCACGATCCTATAATGTTGTTACTGTTTGTGTTGTTATGATATGAAACAACAACATTGGATTCTTTCAGTCGAGTTAAAGACACAATCAGGTTGTAAAATCCTGTTTATTTCTCATTTTATGTTCATGTGTTAGCTGGCTGTTTGGATGTTTGTCCAACTGGATTTTGATAAATGTTCTTTGAAAAACTGCTATTAAACATGTTAATGAAGACTGAATGAAAAGTCAATATTAATGATGATAATAAAGATCGGTTTAAATGCTGACCGTATTGAACATAGCCGTACTCATGAGTTTCATTCTGGTTGACTCCATGATTTGTGGAGGAGCCCGGACTGTGACTCTCAGACTGGATCGACCTAAAACAGGAAATAAACACAATAAACTCAAAAGTAACTGATATTTGTTTAAAATAATAATAAAAAGTATTTTACCAACCTGGTGAAGAAGGAATCTGTGAAAGAGACAAATGTTATTAC